AAGAGGCATGCAAGACATTGGCTTTTCTCGAGAAGAAGAAAGGCAAACACAAAGTCCCAAGCAAGGAAATCGAGAGCGCCTACAGGAAGTCCCCTGATCGCGAAATCTCTCGAGAAGAACGTTCAATTGGTCATAGCACAGCCTTCTGGGACTCCTTTGAACGAGCATACCCTGCATTCCCCATAGCACTCGAGGAGTTTGCCAAAGAACGACAACACAGGAAACAGTCTCGTGTCTATCATCGCTGCGACTCACCTAGTATCGAAGTGGTGTCTGAAAAAAACTGGACCCCCCAAAAGCTAACGTGCATTCTCGTCTGTGTGCTGGAGTTCCTGTGGAAAGATCCCATCTTGATAATAATGACGAATATCGAGCACCTCCTCGGGGTACAGATCATTCTCGTGGAGGCCGCTACCAAGACGACCATTATGGCCCACGACATTCTCCTCAACCTCGACACACTGAATGACACCCCCAAGAAGAACCTTATGTTCCTCGACGTCAGGGAGAATATGGCAATCAGAACCTGTCCGTTCGAAAATCAATGAGAAGAATGATAGAAATGATTGTCAACAAAAGTCCGTTTGTACCAAGGATTCGAGACTGCCTGTTTGACTTCTCCAAGGATTTTGTAAAGTACTCACGAGACTCCAACCCACAGCAGTTCTTGCATGGATATGTCCAAGTTATGAGAATCCAAAACGCTAAAGCCCTTCCATCCTATCTCACTGGACAGGCACAAAAGTGGTTTGGACAGTTGCCAGAAGCAAGTATTACCAGTTTCGAGAACTTGTCAGTCAAGTTGGCCACACGCTTCTTTCCAAGCAAGCAGATTACAAAAATGTCAATCGACCTTTCCTTGATTAAACAAGGACAAAACGAGAGCTTTTTCTGATTTCCACCGTCGCTTCATCCGAGAAACTCTCCAAGTTGATTGCCTCGATGACAGAGATGTGTGAAACGGGTTCATTCAGGGTCTTAATCTATTCGAGAAATTTGCTACTTTGAGGGTGAAACTGTCTACCAAACCTCCTCAGAATATGCAGGAGATGTGGGCCACGGTAGAAAATTACTTCCAGCGAGAACAGAAACTTAAATGTTCACAGGAATCCTTCTCGATAGCAAAAGATCGAGGCGGAAGGGACAAACTCAAATCTACAATAGAAGCCAAACCGACACTGCCTAAGCTCGACAGACAATTGACGCCATAGTTAAAGCCTCGACGAGAAATCCTCCAAATCCACAAGGATGAGCTCCTTATTCCAAAGCCCCTGGCTCCCAATCCTAACAGGTCCGCAGACCAGTACTGTGCGTATCATAAGGACCACGGCCACGAAACTGAAGATTGTAGGGAGTTAAAACGAGAGATCGAGGCGAGAGTAAAGTCTGGGAAATTTCAACAATATGTACAGAATGTTTCTCGACAAAAGGTAGGAAAGTTCGCGGGACCCTGTAACTTTCTTAGGAAGAACTCCCGAGGCCCTCGAGTGGATAACCAGGGGAATAACTGGACACCAAGGAACAATACGCAGTAATCTGCTCAGCAGCCCCCCGACGGCGATCCTCAACCACTCCAACAAGTCCCTCCACCTGATCCTGCTAAGCAGATTAGTCACAATGTGGGGCAATCTATGGTGCATCACTCGAGGTTCTTTCTACAACAGCTATGAAGGAATCAGTTCGAGAGGTAACTAAAACACTTCCACAAGAGCCTAGCCATAAACGGTTCAAGGAAACCGAGGCAATAGTCTTTACAGACAGTGACGTAGTCCCAGGCATCTGTCCACACAACGTCGCCATAGTTATTGAAGCCATTATAGGAAACGTTCACGTAAGCCGAGTATACGTCAATAACAGAAGCGCAGTCAAGATCATCTATAGCAACTGTTTCAAGAAGATGAACATACAAAATTCTGATTGGCGTCTGGCAACATTACCATTAATTGGTTTCTCTGGGCACACGATTATTCCCAGTGGAATCGTAAGGCTTCCAATCATGGTAGGGTCGCATCCTCAAATTGTAACCTTAACCATGGATTTCGCCATAATTGATGCACCCTCGTCGTTTAACGTTATTTTAGGACGGCCATGGATGTGCTAAGCTCATGCTATTTGGTCCCTCTACCACTTGGTAATGAAATTCCCAACAGAGTACGGGATAGGGATAGTACAAGGGTGCCAACGCAGTTCTCGAGAATGCCTCCTCACGGCAGTGAAAACAGGGAAAAAAGCAATAAAATCTGGAGTTACCACCATCACATCGGGATGTTACTCAGTTCAGCAAGGGATCAGTCGAGGACGTAAGGGATGAACAACCCATAGATCCCAACCAACCGCCACTCAGAAGTAAAACGGAAGAGTTGATCTTGGACGAAAAAGAAATTGGAAAAACAATCCAACTTGGAAAATCCATAAGCGGAACATTGCGGGCCGAGGTAATCGCCTTGCTACACGAGTTCCAAGATATCTTTGCCTGGGAACCGTCTGATGTGAATGGAGTCCATCGTCAAGCTGGTACAACAAAAAAGAGAGACTTTGCTCGAGACCGCAATGATGTCATCAACGAGGAAACACTCAAGCTTGTTCGTGCCAACATCCTCCGAGAACTTCTCCTGCCAACATGGCTGGCCAACCCAGTCCTAGTCCAAAAACCGGACAACTCTTGGCGCATGTGCCAAGATGGCACTGACCTCAACAAGTATTGCCCCAAGGACTGCTACCCCTTGCCTGTCATTGATCAAATGGTTGAGGGAATCACCGGGTTTAGAACTCTCAACTTCCTCGACGCCTACAAGGGATATCATCATATCCTTATGGCCCAAGAAGGTGCTGAAAAAACGGCTTACATCACCGAAATTGGAGTTTACTCCTATGATAAAATGCCGTTTGGGCTAAAGAATGTTGGAGCTAGTTATCAGCGGTTGGTTAACAGAGCCTTCCACGAGCAAATCGGACTTAATACCGAGATTTATGTGGATGATATGGTCATCAAGAGTAATCTCAATGACAAGATAGCAAAGGATATGCGAGAAATCTTCATGATTCTCCGCAAAATCAACATGAAGCTCAATCCAAAGAAGTGTGCTTTCTGTGTCGGTTCTGGGAAATTCCTCAGATTCCAAGTTTCCCAGGACGGCATAAGTGTGCATCCCGCGAAAGTTGAAGCAATCCTCTCCATGGAAGCCTCAAAAACAGTTAAATAGGTCCAAAAACTCACCGGATCTTTGGCAGCATTGAAAATGTTTCTCTCCCGAGCTGCCGAAAGGAGCCTTCCATTCTTCAAGACGCTATGAAAAGGGAGGAAATTCGAGTAGACTGAGGAATGCTAGCAAGCCTTTCGAGACTTGAAAGAATATCTAAAGCAACTTCTCATGCTAGCAAAGCCAAAACCGGGGGAAGTCCTATATATCTACTTGGCTGCTCGAGAGACGGCCATATCAGCAGTACTAATCCAGAAGAAAGACGGAAAAGAAATCCCGGTCTATTTTGTGAGTAAGGTCCTACAAGGAGCGGAATCTCGGTACACCCCCATGGAGAAGCTAATACTAAGCCTGGTGCTAGCTGATGAACGACTGCGTCCCTACTTTCAAGCTCATCCAATCCAAGTCCTGACTGAGCAACCTATTCAACAGGTCCTCCTTAAACCTGAAGCTTCAGGTAGAATGATGAAGTGGACCGTCGAGTTGGGAGAACATCATATCGAGTATAAGCCTAGAACGGCTATAAAAGGACAAGCGTATACAGATTTCCTCGTCGAAATGCCCCGTACTCCAGACACCAAACCCGAACCATTCTCAAAGAGGCAAATGCAAAAGCATACTCCCGCAGATCCTCGAGCTTAGACTCTTTACATCGATTGTTCATCTTTTGAAGACGAGGGAGGAGCTGGTATAATTCTGGCCAAACCAACCGCACCACAAGAAATCGACGAGATAAAGGAATATGATGCGAATGTTCTTATGCCTTTCGATTTAGTTTCCCGGTCACCAGCAATATGGCCGAATACGAAGCAATGATCACGGGGTTGAACATTGACCTACGACTTGGGGTCCAAAATTTAGAAGTTTTCAGATTCTTAGGTAGTGGTTAAGCAAATCATATCTCGAGAAAGTCCTCGAAATAAGGAATAATTTCGACAAATGTTCCATATCCCACATCCTCAGAACTAGCAACAAGAGGACTAATTCCTTAAGCAAGCTAGTTTCGTCCAATTTCACACATCTCAGTCATAAAGTTTGGGTCAAGATACTCCCCGAACCTAGCATCCAGCCTCGAATGTCACTCACGATCGCTGAAGATGGAGATACATAGATGACACCATTTATTTAATTTCTTGAGAACGTCTGCAGCTCGAGTATTAAAGTTAAAAGCGGTCAAGTATACCTTGAAGGACGGAATCCTCTATAAGCACCGGTATCTACTACCAATGTTGTGTTTCATCGGCCCAAGGCAGGCGACCTATATTTTCGAGGAAGTTCATGAAGGATCATGTGGTGCTCACATGAGAGCATGAGGATTGGCCATAAAGGTCCTTCGAGCAGGTTACTTTTGGCCTACAGTTTTCAAGAACGCCTATCGATTTGTGCAAAAGTGCGATAGATGTCAGCGATTCTCTCCCATGACTCGACAGCCACAACATGAGATGGTAACTATCCAAAGCCTGTGGCCGTTCTACCAATGGCGCACTGACATCATCGGCCATTTCCCAAAAAGGACAGGAGGGCTATTCTGGATTATCGTAGCTAAGGGTGTAAACGAGCCGAGCCGAGCGCAAGCAGACCTCTTATCAAGCTCGGCTCGAGTCATTTTTACTTGGCTCGAACTCGAGCTCCAGCTCGATCGAGCCTGAAAAATTTGTACTCGAGCTCGGCTGGCCTTAATTTTAGAAGGCTCGAACTCGGCTCGTTGAGCTCGATTTTCTTAATAAAAAAAACTAAATAATCTATTAATAATGAAATTGCATCGAGGACAAGGGCACAATTATAAAGGTAAGCAAAATGCCCCAAATAAAATACAATTGAAAAGAAGAACACAATTTTTTTTTATCTATAGATAGATCAATTGTAGCCAACCGCCGGCAGTGGCTTACACTGATTTTGCGGCCTAATGGCCGGAGATCAGGAGGATGGGCTGCCTCGTTCATTTGCTGGTTTATTCCACAAACCTCCAGAGTCTAAACTTGCTGTGAATAAAAAATTCAAACAAGTGAAGTTCATTAATGGCTCTCCTGTGTTGAATTTGACGGTGAGGAATATGAGAGTTGTATCTCCTCACCGACTGAATCTTGTTGGGAAATTCTCTTACGGAAGGCCGAAGATGGAAGAAGTGCGAAAGGAATTTGATAAAATAGGTTTTCGTGGAAACTACTTTATTGGTTTGATGAACCCTCGACACATCTTAATACGTTTTGAACGTGACGATGATTATCAGAGATGTTGGATAAAAAAGGCTTGGATTATCCAAGGGTTTCAGATGAGGATTCTTAAGTGGCAATCAGGTTTCACGTTCGAAGAAGACCCTCATTGGTTCCAATTTGGGTTTCGTTACATGAGCTTCCAATTGAATTCATGACACCACATGTTCTTTTCTCAATTGCGACGGCCATAGGTAAGCCTCTTCAAATTGACACGGCAACGTTGAATTTGACACGGCCGTCGGTAGCCCGGTTTTGTGTTGAAGTCGATCTCACCAAAGAACATCCAAAGTCGATCAAGATATGCAAGAAGGGGAAGAAGCATGATCAAATTTTCACTTACGAATATATACTGGCTTATTGTATGAAGTGCAATAAAATAGGGCATAACGGGTCGGAATGCCGACAAGGAAAATCACAAAGTATGGTGACAAAAGAGGCTGAAAATCGGATTGTCACAAAAAACCCCAAAAACCCACGAATAGGATCTGGAGAGAAGGAAGCAACGCAAGTAAAACATAAGAAATTGGAATCGTCGGGTTTAACAGAGAAAGAAAAGGCTTTGATTCCAATTGATGCAGTGCATGATGACTCCATTCCTCGAGAGCTGGAGAAGGAGGTGTCTCTTGAGAAAGATGTTGCCAGAAGGAAACAGATTGCAGATTGCGTGAAAGGAAATGGTTGTCAAAATCGGTTTGACATTCTAGCAGAAGATAGCTCTGATGATGAGGAGTTAAATATATTAGCTGATCAACCGGTAGTTGTGATACCTGATGAACAGGTTGCTGCTGTTGCTGCTACTTCTCCAACAATTGCTGCTTCGTCCTCGGTTGTAAACGGAAGCAAACTTTCATTATTCGCAACTGTCCATCATTCGTCAGTGGTGGACTACCGGTGGGAAACTTCACCGGCAACAGAAGGGCATGAAATCCCGCAGTTATCGCAACCTCCTTCCAACCCGCAATGAAATCCCATTGATGCGCAGTCAACGCCCCAGGTTCAATCTGATCCGAATACAAATTCGAACGCTCCAGCTACAAACGCGGAACAAACGCGGTCTTCCCCTTCAAGTGCGGAACAAGCGCGGATCAGTTCCTTGAATTAACGTCCCAATTGCGCAGTCAGTGCTCAAACCTTTCCAATTTTTTCAAATGCGGAACAGACGCTACCTTCTCTATCAGATAAAAGTATTACAGTTATAAATTCATATTTTCCTAGTTTAGACGTGGAAAATTTGGAGTCCAAATCAACCCAATCGTATTCTACTCCCTCAAATCCTGAAGATGTTTTCTCTCAAAATAACTCCTCATCTTCAGCGCCTCAAATTTATCCGGAAGCCAAATTGAAGTCCAATTCTACCCATTCCAATAATGAAGATTCTTTTTCCAAAAACAGCTCTAATAGCATTTCCACAAAAAAATAAAATCCCGCAGCTCCTGAAATTTCCTATTCCCCTCGACCACAAGAGCCTCTCCTTGAAGTTCTACTTGCAATTTCAGACCCAATCGTGACAAAAAAAAACACAATCAGTTTTTTTCCAAGGATGATACGGAATTAGTGAAGAATATTGAGCCTATTAACAAAATTTATTTGATTGAAGATATACACTCTGAAGGTTGACTAAATCATGCTTCCAATGACTCTGATGAAGATGATTTTGATATAGAATATGAACTGGAGCAAGAGTCCTTTTATAGTGAAATTTCTGCACCAACATATCACAATCATTCGAAAAAAGCGAAGTCGAAAAAGAGAGTTCAAGTTCGTCGGTCTGCTCGATTGAACAAGGATTCAGCTTTATGTAAAGATTAAAATTGTATTTGAAAAAAAAAGATATTCAAATATATATATATATATACCTTTAATTGGGAAGGTTGAGGTAAAAAAAAAAGTTGTAAGCGAAAAAAAAGGGCACAATTATAGGATTCAGGTAGACGTTAAATCATAAAAAGCATGGTGTCCAAAACTCCAAGGGCTTATTTGGCCAACACAAAAAAAAAAAAAAAAAAAAAAAATTGCATCGAGAATCAAGATGCAAAAATTCTGCATAGATCTAAAGTCTCAAATCAAAGAAGTTATAAATTGGCATGATTTTTATACATTCGAATTCCAATTAAAAACTTTCGCAACTATATATTCTCTATATAAAAGAGATTTGTGCGTCACCAATTCCTCCTTAGATAAAAAGAACAAATGAAAAGCCTCTATATCTATATAGATCTAAGCAAACTGAGTATCAATATGCCCTTCATCAACTGAAATCTTTGCACCAAACTTTCCAACAACTAAACACCAAACTTCCAAACAATCAACAAAGAAAAAAAATCGACAATGGGCCTTAGCTCCTCTTAATGTTCCTAAATTTTGTGAAGTGGGAGATTTGTTGAAGATTCGAGAAGGGGGGAAGAATAGAATGGGAAGGAGGGAAACATCATGGGGTTTTTTTTAGATTTGTTTTTGGAGAATAAAAAGCAAGAAAAAAAAAGTAAAGAAGAAGAAGAAGACATGGAGAAAAGAGACGTCAGATGCTTTTGAAAGATGGAAAAGGCATCAATTAGATAGACTTGGTGGGTTCCAGGTTCCAACCTTCATTTAAGAAGTCTCAAATATAAGTAAAATTTTATTATTTATTAAAATATATATGCATAGCCGAGCCGCTCGACGAGCTTTTGAGCCACATTCCCACGGGCTCGAACTCGACACGTTTGATTAATGAGCTCGGCTCGAGCTTGGCTCGAACTCGGTCAACTCGAGTTCGAGTCGAGTTTTGACCGAGCCAGCTTGCGAGTAGCTTGCGAGCTGCTCGGTTTGTTTACACCCCTAATCGTAGCAGTAAATTATTTTACTAAGTGGGTAGAAGCGAAACCGTTGGCCTCGATATCTGGAAGGAAGGTGTTGAATTTTTTCTGGTAAAACGTGGTTTGCCGCTTTGGAGTGCCCAAGGTAATCGTGTCGGACAATGGGACTCAGTTCGAGGGTGATTCTTTCAAATCATGGTGTGCTAAAATACAAATCGAATGCCGATTTTCTGCTATTGCTCATCCACAAGCCAATGGCCAAGCTAAATCCATAAACAAAACTATCTTGCACGGAATCAAGACCAGGTTGCAAAGTGCCAAGGGAGCATAGGTCAACAAACTATCACATGTATTGTGGGCCTATCGGACTACAGCCCATTTCTCGACAGACGAAACTCCTTACAGTTTAGTCTACGATATGGATGTTGTACTTCCAGTCGAGATTGGCCTCGCCAGTCCTCGAACCATCAATTTTGTTGAAGACACCAACAATGAAGATATCCTGACTAACCTTAACCTACTCGAGGAATGGCAAGACGCCGTTAAAGTCCGAGAAGCTAAGTACAAAGAGATCCTCAGAAAACACTACAATAAGCGAGTCAAAAGCACTGACTTTGCAGTCGGAGACCTGGTACTTAGGAAGAATGAAGCCACTTGAGCAGAGACTCCTGGCAAGTTATCAACAAATTGGGAAGGACCCTATCGAGTCATCCACCCTTCTGGCAGTTATCGCCTGCAGACAACAGATGACACAGGAACCATCCTCCCTCGATGGTGGAACATTCAGAACCTACGTAGGTTCTATGTTTAAGTTTTTCCTGCCAAATTACTTGCTCTATGTGATTTGTTGTTTTTATTCCTTTATATGTAATGTTAACTCGGGTCCTCGGGTAATTATTCAATAAAAGTCATTGCATATTTTTCATATTCTGAATGTGCCGACACTATCTTATGACTAGTCTATGAGATGGACACACGCTTCAGGGCCATCCTCGAATTGAGCTGTGTATTCAATATCCAGACACAAAAACCAAAGAATTCTCCTTGTACATGTCGTAGATCGCGGTACTTGAACATCGGGGAACTCGTATCCGGTTTCCGAGAGAGAGCTGTGTACTTTACATTCGGCCATCAAGCGCAATATTAATTATACTCGGGTATGAATCAACAAACGACGCCGGCAAGGCTCGAATCAAATGCAGTGCCCTCACACCAAGTACGGCGTTGGATGAATACATTTACCTATCCCTAAATACTAAGATCTTCCCCCTTGGGGTTGAATCTAGATGGCTTAATGACGCCGGAGAATCCTAACATTCTAAGCTGGTTGACACATTAGTTCCACTTATCCTTCAGGTCCACAATCTCCAAGTCTTGCTCGTTAAGCCTCAGCAGGTATTCTTCAGCCGCAGACCTCTCTCTGGTTTCCTCGTCCTCATCTAGGTCATCGAGAATGGGAAGCAAGATCTCTCGGTCGGCTAGTATGTTTTGCAAATTGGCGGATTGTTTTGAGTAAAACTCGACTTCCTTGGTCCTCCTCTTCAGCAGCTCTATTGCAGTAATGAAGCACTCCGTCCTGACTTGTATTTGCATCTCGACGAGTGAAAGAATATGGAACGTTTTGAGAAACCATGGGGAAACAACGATCTTTCCACGATGCTTTAGCTGGGCATTTTCGTTTTTTAAGTGGGCTATCTCCTCACTTACATTTGCCTCCAAGGATAGAGAATCTTGGTAATCAAGGTCGTATTGTAGGAGGCAACGCTGATAGTCCTCTTCTTTCTGCCTGAAGCGCTGTACTAGTCAAGAATGGATCTGAACATTGTATGCTTGGATAGCATCAACTATATCCTTCTCGAGAGATCTCACCACCGAAATATTATGGATATTGATTGCTGAAGAGACCATAGCATACATTGGGAAATTCTTGGCTTGATTTTGATCCAAAATCATCAAGTGTACCTGATGGACAAAGTACGATTCCTAGCATGAGCAATACAAAATGAGTTAAAAACTTTTAATAGCAAAAGGTTAATGATAGAAGGCTGTGAAAGCTTTGTTCGAGGCTACTCCAACGAGTAACGCTACAAATTCCAGAATCTACAACCCAAAAAAAAAAATAAATCCTATTACAAAAGGGGGAAGTCATACAGTGCCTTGATTTGGAGGGTTGGTTTGCTGATTCTTATTGGTCTCCTTGACAGGTGTTTGAGTCGACTCGGCTTCCTTCTCGATCTCTGGCTCTTTCTCTTGGTCGTCCCAATCAGCTTCCTCTGAGGAGTCATCATCAGAGACCAACTCGACCCCAATGAACTTGTCCGGAAGGTCTGGCACTCGGATTACATCACAAGGATCGCCCATCAAGATTGTTGGGGCATCATCAGGGAAAGAAGTGATTTCCTCAGGAGAGCCCATTTGGAGGATGGCATTGCACAAAGCATTGAACAAAGGAAGCTGTTCAGTCGAGAGGTGCACTAGCCCATTTTTCATCTGTTCATGCAGTGCCCGTCAAGGATCTTTCCTTATAAACTACTTTAGCGAGCCTGCATTGATAGTCCTTCATGATTCCATTCTTTCGAGAGTGGTGACAGCTACACCATGACCACCCAATGCTATGGCTGCTTCACTAATGCCCAACATAACATTGGCCATTCCACCAGTAGGCAACATTCTCGACTAGAAGGCCACCAGCCATTGCTGTAAGTCTGTCTTCGAAATATGTGTTTCCCCATATTCTCTCATCTTAGCCTCCAACTCATTGTAGCTTGATTGAAGGGAAGCTATTTCCTTCTCTTTGGCGGCAATTTCCTTCTCTCTGGCGACAAGTTCAAGCTGTTCCTTTTTCTACGATTCCTCCTGAATCGCCTTCTCCTGCTCAATGTATTTCTTCTCGAGATCCAATCTTCCTACCTCTTCTTTTAGTCTCTTCTCACGAAGCAAGAAACTGATCATCGAGGTACGCATCTAACGACACTATAACATGACATTCCAATAAGTTGCAAAGACAGTATGAATTACACTGAATCAAGTTGAACGCAACACTTACTAGCTTCAAAGTATCCTCCTCGGTCATTGCTGCAATGTTTTCTTCAAGTATGGGGCACTCGATTCTAGCATCCCCAAAGTGGTATACAGCTGCTGCTGCGGTGTAAGCCGATGACCCAGGAGAGACGTCAGTATCCTCGACAATGTTCTTCTTCTCCAAGGGAGGCTTGGGTCCCGAGAACCACTCTGGGTCCAACTCTGTGACCAGGTGGGTCTCGGGAGTTAGCTTATCAAGATTCTCTTTGGCTATCTCGACAGCCGGAATGATCGTTTCTTGTGGGATGACTTCTTTCTCGATCACACCTTCTTTCTCGACAGGAGGAACCTGCCTGCTTCTCTTTGTCTTTGCTCCTGCATCTGACGTTTGACAAGCTTTTTCACCTTTCTCTTTTTGCGGACCTTTGTCGAGGATCCTTCATCATCTGAGTTTTTAACATAAAAAATCTTGGAGTCACAAACTACCCAATGGTGTTTCTGCTCGAGGACATTACCTAAAACAAAAAAAAAAAATACACAGAGGTGTTAGTACCTTCTTTATCCTCAATAGGAATTGGAGGAATATAGTGTTGCACCTCTGTCCAGTTGATATAATTCTCATATTCCTCCATGGCATTGATGTCGGTCCTTTATTTCTCGATCTTAGCCTTGTCTAATTTGGTCCAATCATCGACTATCACATCTAGACCATGGGTTTCTTGATAATCCCAGCCTATAAAAAAGTTCTCCGGGGTCCTTCACATAGATATAATTCGGTTTCCAAACTGGGGCACCGTCGAAGAGTTCCACTATTTGTATCGCCTTCGATTTCGGATTTCTCTTCACATTATACAAGTCCCTGAATTTGGTCGAGGGAATACAGACCTTGAAGAAATACCTCCGTACGAGTAAGCGAGGCTTTACTTTCACCAACTCACAGAGTCTCGCAAATCCGAGAACAGCTGATATTAAATTTGGGGTGAATCAAGCAAGTGGAATCTTATAATGCTAAACTATTGCCCCAAACAGGGAAAAAGGGGGGAATCCAAGCCCTAGAAACATAAATCGATCGTAAACAGTAATTGTTTTCCTCTGGTGGAGCGTCAGCCCTCTCATTTCCTATAGGGGCTCGATATTCTAGATCTACTGGCAAGTTATATTTTTCAGCTATTGCCTTAACTTTCAGGGCAGCATCTATGGTGGATACAAAATCAAAAATAGTTTTTACAGCCATATCTATCGCAATATATGCTAAAATGGCAAGATTCAGGCGAAAGAAAGGCAAAGGCAGATACTAATAACAAGAGGGTTGAAGGACTCACTTCTATCAGATTTCGAGGTTGACCTTTTGAATTATATCCGTCCAGGGTGGTGGGTTATTTCGTTATAGCAGGTGCATAAATCTCCAGTGACGGAATGGAATGTTCGTCTTGAACAGCGGCAAGTGATGTGTAGAGGCAGGAGAGTTTCTTCTGTGTTTCCAGATTCGAAGTTTTGAAAAGAGGTGAAGAAAGAAAAGCCTTTGGCTTTTTCCTTGATATAAGCGATTCCTCTCTCTCACGTCTCGGCAGTTTGGGCGGAGTTCAAAGGGCAGTAATGATGATAGAGCTGTCATTTGGAAAACGTGCCCAATTACTGCGCTCGGTTGAATATGTTAGGCGGGATTTTAAAGCGGGTCGCCTCCTGGGATCGGGTCCTGGCCCGTGAATCACATCATCAGGCCTGCTCGATACATTATGGGCCGAGACTTGTCCAGTTAACTTGGGCCGAGTCCAGATCAATTTTATTTTGTGTCAAGTTTTGTTTATTTCATGTAACTAATACTTGACAGGGACACTTGACGAGTCCATATTCACCACCTACATTGGACCAGCCTATTTACCGAGTCCAGAGTCCAACCGACTCTATGGAGGCGGTGCTAGAGTGCTAAACCTAGTGAGATTCGGACATCTTCCAGGTGATTGCTCCATAATTGAGGTACGCTGTCTTTAGCTCCAATAATTATATATACACTTCTCTATAGCCCTATTTCTAACTTAAGTATTAGAGTGCCTACCCTCGGGAGACTCTCGAGACCCTCTTTTGCAGGAAACTCTAAGCGGAGTTCTACTGACCAACCGGAGTCACAATTCCAAGCTTCGTCATAATTCAGAGAAGGAAAGGCTATCTATTGTTGCATTTCATAGTCCAAGTGCGGAAGCGAAAATCCGTCCCTTATCAGATCTTGTGAAAGAAAATGGAGCAAAATACAAGACAATCAAGTATGAGAACTATCTAAATTTGTTTCTGAACGGCTGACTAACTGACAAAAACCTGCTTGACAATATGAAAATAAACGACTAATCAGATATAGTCGGAAGTCACTCATCTAGATTTAGTATATTTGTAGTGTTTTCTCATTATGTGTTTGTGTGTGTGTGTGTGTGTGTGTTTTTTTTTTTTTGGTATTAGTAGTAATGTAAAAATATGTCAACATTAACTTATCCAATGTATTACCGACCTAATTGGGGTCTGGAGGGTCAGATGTACGTAGCTTTATCCATGTAATTATTCAAAGAAGTTATTTCCATTATGACCCAAGATACATTACGTCATTTGAAGTTCTAATTTCCAGCAAATTTATATAAGAAAAAAAGCGCTGGAATTTAATAGAGTCCTATTAATTTGATCTATTATAAGTACAAAGCTAAAAAAAATATTGTCAATTATGACTTTTCCAGCTTCATTTGCAATGGACATAGTAATGTAAAAATATGGATTAAGAAAAAAAAAAGCAGAATTGATTGAAATACTAAAAATGGATTGGTGAAAACCCCTCAATGTTGTTTGACATATTCATGGACTTATTCTTTCTTGCGTCAGGTTTCAATAAATTAATCTAACCCAACAAATTTTCCATTGCATTATAATTCGGTTGTTTAGGTCAAATTATGAAGTTCAGGTCTTATTTAAATAATACTCCCTCCATTCACAAATAGATATGTCATCGGAGAAAAAACTAAATATTCCAAAATAGATATCGTTCTCACAAATCGAGGCATATTTTGTCAATTTTTTCCATATTAAACTTACATTAGAAATTGTAGTAATGTTTAATGTAGAATTGTATTAAAATTGAATTTTATTGGGACTACAATTGAATTAAGAATAAATGACGGTATTATTGTATTTTAACAAGATCATTATTACCTCCTTAAACTTTGTGAAATCTCTCCAGCTACATCTATTCGTGAATAGAGGGAGTATTCAATTGGGATGGATGGAGCAACCAACCCAACATGACACTATAAATGGTCATCCATCCCGATGAACACAAGGACAACAAATCAAACCAGGGCATTGCTTACAGTTGGGTCTGTAACAATTATTCATCAATGGAAACTGAAGTTGTCCACAATATCAATACTATTGGTGTTTCACTTCCTGTTGAAAACGTGCAAGAACTAACTTCCAAGAACTTGAAAGAAATCCCACATCGGTACATCCGACCTGAACTCATTACAGATGATGTTTCAGTCAACGATTCATCACAAATTCCAGTCATTGATATGAGCAAGCTTGTTGCTGGCAACACTGAATATCAAACTGAAATGTCGAAACTCCATCAGGGTTGCAAGGATTGGGGATTCTTTCAGGTAAGAAAAAACATCAATCCTGATTCCAATCTGTTTGTGTTCATATGTATGGATCTATACTCATTCGTGATTGATTTGTTGAGACAGTTGACTAATCATGGAGCAACAACCGAAATCGAAAACATGAAGGTGTCTGTTCAGGAATTCTTTAAACTGCCATTAGAAGAGAAGATGATCTATGCACAACAGCCAGGTAGTCTTGAAGGATATGGTCAAGCATTCGTTATGTCGGAAGAACAAAAGCTCGACTGGAATGACATGCTCTGCATATTTTCAGCTCCAGAATCTGGAAGGAATATGAGATTCTGGCCTAACAATCCTAAAACTTTCAGGTATATTTTTTACTTTTCCATACATAAATCATAAATAATGTTTGGGATAATGAATGCTCACAAACACATCAGATTGGTTATAAGTTCCTCGTCAGCGAAATGGAACAGCAGATTCAAATAGGGTCTCAACAGAAAGAGGTTACACCTTTTGCAAGAATTCTGTCTGCTAACTTGGTTACTTGCATTTTCTGCCCTTCAACTATTAGGTCAAGCTTAGCGGAATATTCACGCGAGTTGCACCGAATCTGCATCAGCCTTTGTGAATTGATTGCCAGAAATCTCGGGGTGGAATTTAAGCAATTCGTGGACATGTATCTGGAATGCGCACAACCAATACGAATGGCCTACTATCCGCCTTGCTCCAAAGCTGACAAGGTTATCGGTTTCTCTCCACACTCTGATAGTTCTCTCCTAACCTTATTGGTTCAAGTCAATGAAGTTGAAGGTCTCCAAATCCGCAAAAATGGTAAATGGATACCAATCAAACCTCTTCCTGGAGCCATCATTGTTAACATTGGTGATGCGATGGAGGTAATATTGTAATAAGCTCTGGTCATCAACTGAATAATCGCTTACAACATAGTATTTTTCTTGATTTTTGTAGTTAGCTGAATGTCTTTTTGAATGCAGATAATGACCAATGGGGAGTATAGAAGCATTGAGCACAGAGCTATGGTGAATTCTCAGAAGGAAAGGATATCCATTGCCGCGTTTCATAATCCAAGTATAGCATCAACAATCGGTCCGCTACCAGATCTGGTGAAAGAAAATGGAGCCAAATACAAGACAGTGAAGTTCGAGGATTATATGAAACAGTTTCTTGGCAGCAGACTAGACGGCAAAAGCATGCTTGATGCTGTGAAAATACACAACTGACAAATCAAAAGCAGTGTGTAACAATTCTTCTTTAATACTCTCTGTGTCCAAAATGATAGTTCAGTTTGGATTTTCATTTTAAGTTCAATTGGTACTAAAAATGAAAATCCAAACTGGACAATAACTTCGAAACGGATGGAGTATTTGAATTTGTAGTCACATAGAACAAAAGAATATGAACATCTTGCTATCATTTACTGAGAAGGATGCATTCAATCCAGAGGCTTTCAACTTTTACATTCATGACTGCAGAATTGATATACTACTTAACTATCATTAGTAATCATAAACTTGAAGAAAACAAAGGGAATCAACGTTCCCCAGTCAGAAATGATCCTCCTGTTGTGCAGGAACATTAAGAATACATGAGGGATGAAACATCCTGGAAACTATCAAAACGCTGATAATGGCCAAGGCAGAGGCGCAGAGCCATCAAACAGCAGAAAACTTTTACTCCAGAGTTGCCTAGCCATTGGATCTGAATTCGAGCATACTAGAATGAATCACGTAGTGAGGATTATTTGAGAACATTGTTATATACTAGTACATCATTTGAGAAAACGTAATAGATGAATAGCAAATACCATTTAATTATCATATGAAGAACAATTATCAACTCTTAGGAAAGAAGTCAAATTTGGTCTGATGATGCCCATCAAATTTTCCGTAGTCAGTAGAGAATGTTTTAAAAAAATAAGAAAGAGATAAGAATCAAATGATGTTACTATTATCCCGAAAAATAATCCACATATGTGAGGATTATTTAATTTATGAAGTGTAGAATTCTTAGGACTATGAAATGTGATTTGGCACTGAAAGGTAACACAATGCGTCATTGCTTAGGAAATCGAAAGTAACCAAGTGACTGTTATACTTCATTTTATAATTAACGTTTCCATTTCAATTGAAAGAATGGACTGCAACTCTATCTTCAATTTCATTGTAACCAATCAATGGCAGAACTGACTTGGAAATGGTCCATAATTACATAAATTAATCGATGGTTATCCAAAATTTCTTCGGACAGGACGGAATTTTGAAGTTTTAAATTGATAATGCGTTGGGAAGTGGTTTTCGAAGACCGTGCAATACAAATAAAAAAAAAAAAAAAAAAGAAGCAAGCATAATCTATTAGTTATTTTACAGATCCTCTGCGTAAAAACTTCCCAATAATGTTTTAGCATAATCTGTTAGTCCTGACTCCTGAACTGGTTTTGAAGGGAAAAATGTCCTTGACTTCGTCAATTGTTGTTGAGAAATCTACACCTATCCTATATACTCCAAATATTGTTGCAAAAATTCAACTTTTTTCTATCTAAATTCTTATTATACGGTTACGTGAAAGATTATTTACTCCCCTGTCTCAAAAAAAAATTAAATAAAATAAAATAAAAAAGAGGTAGTAGAACAATACAAAAGGCACGTCTCATTTGTGTCACATCGTTTCATATATAGTAGCATCTGCAAGAGAGTGAAAATTAGGGTGTTTCTGCAAGAGAGTGATCTGGATGATTATCAATCAACAATGGATACTAAAGTTATCCCCGCTATAAAGCTTTCTGGTCTTTCACTTCCTGTCAAAAACGTACAAGAACTGGCTTCCCAGAACTTAGAAGCCATCCCACATCGATACATCCGACCTGAAACTGAGTCTGATGAAGTTTCAGTCGATGAGTCATCACAACTTCCAGTTATTGATATGAACAAGCTTGCATCTGGAAGTATTGAATATCAAACTGAAATGGCAAAACTTCACCAGGCTTGCAAGGAATGGGGATTCTTTCAGGTAACAAACTAGCATCTTTTCACAATCTATACATTATCTGTCCATATTTACTGTTGTAAGGTCGAGTTGGGTTGGGATGTTTAGGATGTTAAAAGTGGGAGTTTGTAGTAATAGTTATTACCAAGAGGTCGAGGTTTCAAATCTCGTTTGAGTAATCCAATCTTGATTGACAGTTGATTAATCATGGAGCAACGACAGAAATCGAAAATACGAAGGCGGCGGTACGGGACTTCTTTAAACTGCCATTAGAAGAGAAGATGGTGTATGAACAACTTCCAGGAGGTCTTGAAGGATATGGTCACGCATTCGTTCTTTCGGATGATCAAAAACTCGACTGGAATGACATGCTCGCTATAATTGCTCTGCCAATCTCTGCAAGAAATATGAGATTCTGGCCTAACAAGCCCGAATCCTTCAGGTTCATCTAACTACTCTTCTGACTTTTGTTTCTAGTATAAGCAATATATATATATATATATATATATATATATAGGAAGCTCCAGAGCATCAGTACAAATTTGAATACTAATTTTCTGCCATGGCAAATCAGATCAGCCTTCGAGCAATACTCGCGGGTGTTGCACAAAATTTCCACCATTCTTTGCGAAATGATGGCCGCGAATCTCGGGGTGGAATTCAAGGAATTTTCAGGCATGTATAAGGAATTAGTACAAACGATAAGAGTGAACTATTATCCGCCATGCTCCCAAGCTGACAAGGTTATTGGTATCTCTCCACACACTGATGGAAATCTGTTAACCTTATTGGTTCAAGTCGATGAAGTGGAAGGTCTCCAAATCAGGAAAAATGGAAAATGGGCACCTATTAAACCACTTCCAGGAGCCCTCATTGTCAATACTGGTGATGCATTGGAGGTAATTAGTTGGTTCACTCTGATTAGCAATTCCCCTCTGGATTAGAAATCTTTCCTCGGCTTTCTACGTTGGCTTATTGAATCTGATCTATTTGCAGATAATGAGCAATGGGGAGTATCCAACCGTTGAGCACAGAGCTGTGGTGAATTCAGAGAGGGAAAGGCTATCCATTGCTGCATTTCATGGTCCAAGTGCAGAAGCAAACATCAGTCCCCTGCCGGATCTTGTGAAAGCAAATGGAGCCAAATACAGGACAGTCAAGTATGAGGAGTATCTGAAAGAGTTTCTTAGCAGCAGACTAAGCGGCAAAAGCCAGCTTGACGATGTGAAAATATACAACTGAAATTAAAGTATCATTATGAGATTCTCTTGGGAGTTTGGAGTTCAGAATCTGGTATTCATACTTTTTGAAATGTATCCCCTCAGTGCGAAATTATTGTCCAGTTTGAATTTTCATTTTCAGTTCAAATTGTACTAAAAAGTAAAATCAAAGGGAATGTATTTCCCCCCTCTGAATGACAATAAAAGTAAGCATCATCCTACCTCCTCGATCCAAATTAGTCAGGATAGTAGTTTTTGAGACCAATTGGAATGTAAGCTAAACAACCAAGATACAAACAGAATAACCTAATAAAACAGTACCAAGAGAAATATTTTAATTTAATTTTTGTTAGATTTAACCTCTTTCTTTATACCCACAAAAAAAGAAGCAATACGTCACGAAAATAGAAAAGTCTTATGTATAAATATATTTTTACGGAACCATCCCGTTTTTTCTTTAACCAATCAAAATTGAGAGTATAAGATGTGATTATGGAGTAAGTAACATTCTAACATATACCAAACTTATTTTTCATTAAATTTTTTTAAAACAATTATTATAACATGCTATTCACCTTGTTTAACAAAATAAAAGTGTCTGTAAATTACCTGATAAACTTTACAAATAAGATTTTCTTTACTTATTTTCTCAGATAAGTTGCTTGCCACAATTATTGTTGGATTTTAATTTTCTTCTCTTTTTATAAAGCAAATTCCAATAGCTAAACAAAAAATCGAGAGAGTTGAAAAACCAAAAACCAAGCAAGCAATAAAAGGGAAGACTAGCTAAAGAGGATAAGGCATAGAGCAAGATACAGTTATGATCAGTTTGCAACTTCTGCAACAGACTAGAGAATTAAAAGGGCCAGGTAATAAACAAGGGAGAAATTATTCAGTGCAGCTATTGTACCACGTAGGATTGTACAGCCAGACACAATAATAAAGGTAAACTAGTAATTTTGGGGGAGAGATAATTTCTACAGGAGTTTATCATTAAAATAGGGGGTACTAGTACTTGTTGCACTAAAAACCACCATACAACAGTTGTGCCTAATAATTTTTCTAAACAAGGACTTTTTCCTTCGAAGGTCAATAAGTATAACAAAAAAGAAGCATAAGGCGTGCACTGAAAGGACAAAATAAAATTTCAAAGCTCAGTCGTTATGGAAAATAACAATGGAAGCAAATCAAACAATCCTAATAAAATTAATTTGTAATCTCTACTTGCCTATCAAAAAATTATTTGACACAATGATTATAGTCTGATTTCGGGCCAAGAGATTCAAAAGGGTACGTGCCAGAGCAGGAGGAGTGTTCCCATCCATGATATTACAAAGGGGTTTGCTTTGCCTATCATATGAGCACATATAGGTTATTAAATATAAAATTTTGACAAAATGCATGGAGGAGATTCTCTACGAAATTCAATATAGGAAAACGACGGTGGTGGAGGAGGAGGAGCGGGAGGGAGATCAAATTACTATTGTATTACCTATGAAATTATATAATAAAACCATAAAACAAATTATATAGTGGAACTAAGACCATTACTGCCAAGAAATAAGATGATTGTCTTTTAGGAAGACCAATGCAACTACATACAATTCCTCATACATGCTCGCTCCGATATATCTCCCGAAAAAACGATTCTTATATATGAATGGAGTGTCGCGCATGCGGCCGAAAAGCTCGCTACACAGAGGCTACGTTAGCATATCCTGCTCCTCACATATACCCGCTCCTAACACACGACTGCTCCGATATTTCCCTCTAAAAAAAGTTTTCAATTTATATTTGAAGGGCCGCGCAGGCGGCTGAAAAGCCCGCCAGCTGAAGGCTACGTGAGCATCTGCCGCAACTCACACACTGCCGCTCCTCACACACGCCTGCTCCTCACACACGACCGCTCCGATATCTCCTCCAAAAAAAGGTTTCCAATTTATATTCGAAGGGTCACGCAGGCCGCCGAAAAGCACGTAACCGAAGGTTACGTGAGCATCTGCCGCAACTTACACACTGCCGCTCCTCACACACGCCCGCTCCTCACACATGACCGCTCTGATTTCTCCCCCGAAAAAAGGTTTCTAATTCATATTCAAAGGGCCGCTCAGGCGGCCGAAATACATACTAGCCGAAGGCTACGTGATCATCTCCCGCAACTCACACACTGTCGTTTCTCACACACGCCCGCTCCTCACACACGACCGCTCCTATATTTCTGCCGAAAAAAGGTTTCTAATTTATATTCGAAATGCGACGCAGGCGGCCGAAAAGCACAGCCGAAGGCTACGTGAGCATCTTCTTCAACTTACTCACTGTCGCTTCTCACACACGCCCGCTCCTCATGCACGACTGCTCCAATATCTCCATCAAAAAAAAAGGTTTCCAATTTATATTCGAAGGGCCATACAGGCGGCCGAAAAGCACGTAACCGAAGGCTACGTGAGCATTTGCCGTAACTCAGCATCTGCCGCTCCTCACATACGGTTGCTCCTCACACACGTCCGCTCCTCAAACACGTCTGCTTCGATATCTCCCTCGAAAAATGATTCCAATTTATATTATGGGTGATTCTTAATGTGTATAAAAAAAATTAAGACCTAGAGGAAATGTAGGAAGACCAAAGGCCTAAGATAAAAAAACCAAAGACCAAGGATCAAAGACCAAATATCAAAGTGAAAACCGAGCGTGTGTGAAAAGTGAAAATCAAAGACCAAAAAACTGAGGACCAAAGACCAAAGAGCAAAGACCAGAGTGAAGTGCGAGCGTGTGTGAGGAGTAAAGGCCAAAGACCGAAGACCAGAGACCAGAGTGAAGATCGACAGTGAAGACCAAAGACTAAAAACCGAAGACCAAAGGCCAATGACTTGACAGCAAAAATCAACTATTGAAGACCAAAGGTCAAAGACAAAAAATCGAACACCAAAAATCGAAGACCAAATATCAAAGGCCCAAGATCGAGAACTAAAGACCAAATACAAAAGATCAAAAATAAAAAAATTAAAGACCAAAGACCGAAGACCAAAGAATAGAGTGAAAACTAAGCGTGTGTGAGGAAGAAAGACCAAAGATCAAAAAACCGAAGACCAAAGACCAAATACCAAAGAGCAAAGAGCAAAGACCAATAACCAAAGACCTAAGACCAAAGAGCAAAGACCCAAAACTAGAGTTAAGAACGAACGTGTGTGTAGATGAAAGACCAAAGACCAAAGGTCAAAAACCAAAAATCAAAAACCAAAGATCAGTAGTACAAACAAACATGACCAGAGTGTCTTTGAGAAAGATCAAGGCAAATATATAATAGTTTAGACTCATCGCAACAAATAGAGAGACCAAACAGTTTGCACACAACAAGTAAGAGCAGAGTGTCTTTCAGCAAGACCAAGGCAACTAATAATTTTTTGTAAAGTTTCGAAAAACATATTCATGATGAATCTTGTTGGATAGATCTCGTCGAGTACTATCAAAATGATATAAGACACTTGCTCTAATTCCTTACAGATTAAGGAATAAAATCATTTAAAGATTAAAGAAAATTTTAAAACCCATTTCCTTAAATTAAGGAGGAGTGGTCATGTGTTTCACTTCTTTTAGAAAATCAGATTTTGGGCTTAAAAAAAAGAAGGGGGTGCATGATATCACATTAAGTGCATGTAGCTACAAGCACTTAATGCTTATATAGTATAATAACTCGGTTTGTCAGGTTTCCTGTGTATAATCAGGTGGATGTAGATATATTTAGTTATGATACACCCTCATTTTAATCGTACGGTTGTTAGTTAGCCTAATTAATCCTATGGTTATTATCCTAAAACGGAACTGTCCCGTAACGGGACTCTAACCTCTCCCTATATATATATATATATACATATATATATATATATATGTATATGTATATGTATACTATTAGAACAATAAAACAAAGAGAGAAAGAAGCTGAGCTGCTGCATTGTGACTAAATTTTTCCCCCAAAACAATTAAGTCAAGATTACATCATTTTGATTAATAAACCTTTAGTTATATACTTAAAAAACAAGTTGCTATCACTAATGGTTAAGGATCACAATCCTACAATATTTCGTACACCAGCATATAAAATTTGTTATATATTTCTATTAATTATTACTTTTATTTTTTTAATTATACTAACACCCTAACCCACTATTGTGTAAAATTTTCGGGACCAATATCAAAATTTTAGTGAATGATGTACGAAGTGGTGTAGAATTCAGGTGTAGAATCTTTTGCCATTATAAATGAATATAAAAATCAGCTCATTTTATTGTTAGAGAGATAAATTTTAATTAGGTATTGTGATTTTCTTGCCAAAAAAAGATACCATTTATGGTAAAAAAAAATTAAAATTTCACGGGTAAAATTACGGAAAAATTAAATAATTTTTTTTCTTGTATTTAAACTCAATCCCTCTAATGCTAATCTCATTAAGAAAGGCTGAAATTTAATGGGTAAAATGACAAGAAAATTCAAAAAAGGCAATCTTCTTATATCCAATTACACATGCACGTTGATGCCAATTATATATAAAAAAAATATTAAAATTTTACGGGTAAAATTACAAGAAAAATTTCAAGTAATATATTTTCCTTATATTCAACTTAGTATTGTGCCTGTGCATTGCACGGTTGGTACAGATTTAATTTTTTGAAATATTTCATCGATGTACAATTTGTAGGAAAAATTTAGATATTTGTGTGAATGATGATTCAATTTAGATATTATTTATAACAGGTATAAAAAAGCATATGTGTAATAAAATTTGATAGTTGTGCAAAACAGATAATATGGGATAAAATCACACAATTGTGATCTTGTTTTAAAAAGGAAGTAAAAAAAAAAACAATAGTAATAAAAACATTCACGATAACATTATATGTTCTCAACCATTTCCTTATAAACTACATTTGTCTTTGTTATGCAGAATTCACCATTGTTGTTATAAATAAGGATTTTAAGACCTGCTCTGGACTTCACCCCAAAAAAATTAACGTATAGCTAGACATG